TTGATGGAAAAATCCGAAAGTCGTGATCCCAGAAGACGTTATACTATGTAAAAGGAAAAACAGTCTTGCTCTTTTTAAGAGGCAGTCCACCAGAAAACCAGGCAGTATTGTATTAATAGGCGGCACATCGAATGTGACGAATATTTGATATTTTATTGAAAATGATATTAATGTAGTCCATATGGAATAATGTAAGTAAAGATTTGTTTGAAAATAGCTTATTTACTAAAATATCGTTTTGTTTTGTGTTTTTGAATTCCCCTATATAAACCATTGAATGTCGGTCGGATACAAAGAACTGTAAATTCTAATACATTTTCAACAGATCTATAATTCACTCCAAACTAAATCAAGAAATATTTCATCTTTCAATTCAAAAAATAAAATCAGTGGGAAAAATATTTTCAATAGTAGTTTTCTTGCAAAATAGACAGTCATTTTTATGAAATTCTGTGATGCAAGAGTTATCTCCCGTAGCATCGGGAAATCGATTAAACATCTTACTATCAGAAACCCTGTGAAATATTTACAACTGATACACTAAAGAATGTTATTCAACCAAAAATAATTGGTTTATTTTGAAAAATGGAATTAATTTTCACCTCCAAACATATTTAGTTTAAAATTTGCTTTATTATTCAGGTTGAATCCACGTTTCCATTGATGTATCAGTGACGTCAAATACCTATCTAATATTGCGTCACAATAGTTGCAAATATTCCACAGAAGTTGGTAAATTTATGTAAACGTGCAAAGAAAAAGATTTTTAAAAAGTTAAGTTAAATAATTTCTCTTTTCTGTCCAATTACTTTTCCGAGTGCATTAAATAATATTGTGATCCAGAATGTATTTTATTCACGGGCGGTGCCTCAGTTATAGATGATTTAAAACAAGTCAGTATTGATATGTAATTTTATACATGTACAGAACATCTATACAGTAATCATGATAGGATTAAATTGTTTTATTTTTAAAATGAGTTAATAGCACATGCATATACTGGTATTTTATAATTCCTAAAAATAATTTTTCTAGTGTAATTTATTATGAACATTTCTGATAAAACTGGGACGTGAAAAGATTAAGAATTATTTCTTATTATTTAGTAATGATGAATATTCCAGACTTACGCAACATTAGATTCAGCAAAGTCGAGATGTGCACTTCATTAAGTGTTGTTAATACTTGAATATGTTAACTTATATGCAGTAATATCAAATATGCAGTCAGCATTATACGATTGCTCACGATCGACTGTCGGACCGAATAAGTTTTAACAGTTGTAAGAACGGAAGTACTCGTCACATCGTTTACTATTAGTGTCGGTGGTTCAGTTTCTGTTTTGACTTTAATTTTATAAAATGTAAAAACTAGAATAGAAAAAAAGTTATAGAAATCTATAAATTTACAACTTAATGAGGAAAATGTTGCCAATAATACTGCTGGACGCCCCACTTCAAGCTGACACTAAAACGGCAGATGATTCAATGGAACATTTTTTTTATTTTCGTTTTTAAAATTTGACAATTGTTCCACATATCCTTATACTTTATATGGAGTTAAAATAAGTCAGTAGGTTGGTAGATTTCCAAAATATCTCATTATTATCAAACCAGTTACAAAACGAATGCCGCCGAGACAACCCCCACCCCCACCCCACTTTTTTTTCCGTGCGATCGATCATTTCTGGGCTCTATTATCATGATTATATGTATGTAAATGTACAGGTTTTTTTCTTATTTATTTCAAATTAAATTTCTTAGAGCAGGAAAATATTCCTTAATATGATGAATGGATAAAAAAAATTGGATTAAAGCCGAGGCTGTACACATAAAAAATACTTGCTGGATTAAAGTACGTACATGTATAATTTCGCCACTGCAGGACTATTTTTTTTTTTTTTAGATTTTCTTTTTCGTCCAGATAATTTAGAAAAATATTTTTCTTGGAAATGAGATATTTTATTAAGCTTAAAATTTGCTATTAATTGTTACATGAAATGAATATCTTTTTAAATAGGTGTGTATCAAGAAATCAAACAGATGTTTTACAAGTAATTAAAAAGATCTTCATGGACTGAAAAACATTTAGTAATTAAGATATATGTAATCTATGGATAAAATCATCTAAAAACATTTAACTCACAGAAAAGAAAAAAAATACAGACATATTCTTATGATAAAATACAACGAAGAGCCGATTTTAGAAAATATTTCTGAATTTTAATATAGAAACCAATCCCGATTGAAATAAAACCGATCCCGATCGAAATTAATGCAAAATTCTTAAGTAATCAAATTAATGGTAATTGCCACCTAGAAAACATGTTTAAAAATAAATCAAGTAATTTGGAAGCCATATTAAAATATATACATTTGTGGTATCTCTCTATTATATAAACATGCAGAGAGCAAATATCTTCATAACTGTATGAAGTTTTTCGAAGGTCATAGGTCATAACGTGACCCAATCACACAGCGCAGTAATATCTACATAAAAAGACTTACTCCACTAAGCAATATAGCATGTTTTTCATACATAAAAATGTACAAAATACTCTAGTAAATTATAATAATCATTTTATTTACAATGTAAACGAGTATTTAATAAGTTTTTGATCGGTTTTACATAGAGAATAGAAAACTACATGTTATAAGTTCCATGTCTGAGCTGCATAGTCTCAACGTTTACCCTTATTTTTCTCGCAGACCTCTGAATGCTATAATTTTTTTTCGTTAAACTTTACTCACAATAAATTTGAAAATCTGTTGAAAAATATCAATGTAATGCAATCACGCCACAAACAGCTGACAAACACTGCACTTTGGAAGTTCGGTAGGCACACCTCCATCATCGAGATCGTTGTGACGTTGTCTTAACAATGTAAGCTGTCACCAGTGTCTCCATGTCAACATCATAAATTAATATAAATATGCCTTACTGAAATCGTAGATTTTATGGTTTTGATCAAATTTTGTACTTGATTTCAAGTTATCTGGTCCGGACAAGTGTCTCCATCCATCCCTTTCCTACCGAAATTCCTCCAACTTTTTATTATCAAACATCGGACGTGTTTCTTGTGTTTTTTAACATCGAATATGGTTTCTCATGAATACAAAAATTCCCAGACACCAATATGCTCACTATAATTGATCGCAAGTAGCCTTTCACAGAATATTCCCTTCAAAACAGAATCCTTTGCCAGATGAATTTGAAGCGTAACCGCTTTTCAAGCCGATTTACACCTAGCGTAATTTGTCGAAATCTACGACGTGCGGTTAGTGCAATATTTATATTCGATTACATTCAATTGTCCATCTCAAATGTATATATAAGTAATAAATAACAAGTTTAAAAACTTCAATGGGAATTGAAGTGGGTCGGTTCGTGATCAAATCTTCTGAGAAGGCCTTCGGCCTTCACAGGATTTGATCACGTGACCGACCCACTTCAATTCCCATTGAAGTTTTTAAACTTGTTATTTATTTCTTAAACAAAACAACCAAATTTCATGATGAAATCATAGTAGCTTTCTTCTTTATATAATTCCGGTCGGGATCGGTTTAATTTGGATAAATTTATAAAAAGTAGATAATATGACGCCTCTTATTTCTCTCAATATACCTGTTCCCACTAATTTTTTTAAATTTATTCAACAATTTGTACTTTGTCTTCATAATAACATAAGGAGAAAGTTTTGACATTTAAATGTATTGGATTTTAGAAAGTAATGAAAATTGGATACTGAATTCATTAAGTCACTTGCTTAACTCAAGTTTAGACCACATAATTTTTTCTAAAGAAATATAAATTGGTGTCTTATTCATTGATATTATAAAAAATAAGGGTTTATACTATAAATAATATTTATTGACTTATCCAGTTTTTGAGTATTTGTTTCAAATAAAACAAAACAAAAACGTAGTAAATTTTCAGCCAACTTGTTGACCTTTTTGCACTTAAAATTAAGCACTTACCAAAAATAGGACTAGAGGAACACTAAAAAAAATTTTGATGTTGCCATGTGTAAACATTTGCTTTAATAAGTCTACATGCAAAAAATAGTTAAAATTCATGACATGCGATGTGCCACCCATTGCCTGGTTTTTTGGTGGACTGCCTCTTAATATCATTAAAAATAAGCATTTATTTAACACCCCCCCCCCAAAAAAAAAAACCCACACGTGTTTTTGTTTTAAACCCTTTCTAAGTTTACAGATAATCTCCCCAATAAATCTCAGGAATGTTAAGTAGTTTCAAATGTATTTTGTCTTAAGTTTTGTACATGTACAAATTTATATTACAAGTACAAGCGTTTTATCATTGACAAAGATGTACATGTACAAAATGATACTGGTATTACTGTTGAAGTCAATTAATTCTGCGTACATAATAGAGTTACTCTTACTTGTAATTTGACGGCTCATATCGGCCATCGTAGATTTATCAACTTCAAAACATAAACTGTTTTTATATATAGAGAGAAGAAAATCTTTTTTAAAGAGAACTCAATCAAACCGGTAATGAATTTACTAATGAAATACTAACAAAAAAAGTATATCAGTCATTGCTCACCTGTGCATTTTTTCCTTAATTTAATAATGGACATGTTTTATGTAGATTATAGAATAACTATTGTGGGTTCTTCATTACCCAGGTAAAGAGAGAGTAAATTTAGAGACAAACACTTGAATGCGGGTATTACTGTCTTATGACAGCATCCAGCATGTAGTTTTTGTTTTTGTTTTTTGTTTTTTTTTTTTTGCTCAGCTTTGAAAGTCATATTGATATTTTTTTTATTTTTCAAGTGCGTGTAGACAAAATATTAGAGTAAGCTGCAACCTGCATCACCTCACCCATTGCACACTACAACAATATTTCGAGACTTTCTGTTGGTGAAATGAATTGAGCCGATAATTTCAAAATTTGATGTACACATTGCATGATCTGATTTGTCAAGCAGCAAAGGCATTATTTCTTGTAATTCTTTCTATTTTTAGAATGGAGAACAATTTTTCCAGACCCTTGAAAATTATTTTGAGGAACATTTTCATGTTGTCGAATTCCTCATCAATCTGACTGAAGAAGTTAGTCTTCATGTTGATGATGGTTCAACTAAAGTCGCTGATGATCTTCGCCAATACGTGAATAAGTTAACAGAATATGACAGTGAATTGAATGAAAAGGGACTAGGAACAAAATGTTTTGTTGGAAGAGAGGAAGAACTTGCGTGTATCATTCAAAATTTGAAGACTGGAAAAGATAGAAAGGGTAAGTCCCTTAATAGGTTATCCTGTCTTTTCTACATTTTACACAGAAACTGGTACATGTATCTAATTTCCCTCGTTTTGGCGTTTTAAATTTTTGAGTCCTGATAATATAAATTTGATGACCAACCTTTGGTTTTACATGAGCATTTTACAAATATTAATATTTACCCCTACAATGTTCTTTTTTTAAAAGCATGGTGAAAGTAGGATACAGCAAAATATATGTAGAGTCGCTATTCGGTAATCTGAACGCTTGCGTTCCCTAGTAAGCTGTCCTGATTAATGACACGTCTAAATTGTTCCCAACATACTTTATCCTCAAAGTAAAGAGTTCGAATGAACAAGACTCCACTGTAAACATCAAATTCTAGTTTGCAAATACTTGTACTACTTTAACTACAGATACATATGTAAATATGCATGTAGCTATGTAACTACAAATTATATTTGGCCATTGATATTATATTACTATATTCATTTGAATGTTTCCCCCAGGACTTCTGATATGCGGAATGGGTGGGATGGGAAAAACAAGTTTGGCGGTAGAAGTATGCCGTTGTCTCTACATGGAAGACAAATGGAATGTGTTTAAAGTAGACTTAAGGTACAAAAAAAATATGTCATTACCCAGGCAATTCAGATTGTGTAATACGTTGACATGTGCAGCTCTTCGACGTTAAATTCAGATAATGTCAGTCACAGAGAACCATATTATATCTTAACATTTTCATTTGTTTGATCTATCTGCAGAGAAGAAACAACTCTTCGCGATTTGCTGCGCAACACATTGACCAAGTTTGGTGAAAGGTTGCCATTCCCATCTACGGATCACATGGCAGGCGACAAAAAAGGGGATAACGATTTGAAACATTTACAAGATTTACTTATAAAGAGATGTAACGATGAGAAATCGGGTACATCATTTCTTTGCATGTAGTAGTAATTGTTTTTAAGCAGCCTGCTTGAAAAAAAATTAAGACACATTTATTTTTGTTACTAGATACCATCTTGTTTTTGGACAATATTGATGGCATTTTAGAAAAGGACAGAGAAAGATTTTTGCTTTTTGCTCAGCAACTGCTACAGAGGTTAAATACCAATTCAGATGAGGATGGCCAATTTTCGTCGAAAGTAAAATATTTTTTGCTTTTCATTTTGTTATGTCAGACGATTGGTGTTTTTAACAACTAATATGTATTGATAATTATTGCAGATGCGGATTATTTTCACAGCAAGACAAAAACTAATAACGAGCAAGGCTGTTGGTTTGCGCAGGGGATTGATTCAAGAAGTTGAAATCAAAGGTTTGAATAACGAAGAAGCTGCTGAATTATTTACAATATACCTTGAAGGAGAGGTAAGAACTACTAAGTATCATTAAGAGTACGATGATGTTGATGATTACTATAATTAATTTTATCATTATCAATTGCTGATATACAAATCAATTTGAAAATCAGTTCTGTTTACAATATGATAAGAATGTAACGAAATGTTGTTTCAGACCGATAGCGATACGGTTGCAAAAATTGTTGCGTTCTGTGGAAACTGCCCATTGGCCATTTTATCGCTGTGTAACAGCATTCGAAATTCTGATTTGACACCAGAAAAATTATTATTCAGACTCCAAATGACCCAAAATGATGCAGGAGAATTTGGGAGTTTTGGAATTGAGTCTTGCTTGAAACAATCTTTCCGTCTTTTGAATGAAAAACTTCAAAGATTTTTACTCGAGTTGTCAGTTTTTCGTACAGCCCAGTTTGACATCCATGCAGCAGTTGCAATTGCTGGTAGAAGCCACAGTAGTGACAAGGCAACAACAGCTCTTGATTTAGTGCATCTCAAGAGCCGGCATTTTGTGGAAGTTACAGTCGAAGGCCTAAGAAGGTCTAAGGCCTACTCTTTACATCCGTTAGTTGTTCAATTCCTGATAAAGAAAACTGAAAGTATGGCTACAGGCGATGATCTCATCAAGACGGCAAGAAGTAGATTTGTCGAACATTTTGATGGAGTGGTTCAGGCCATATCTTTGGATCTTCATAAGCACCCAATGGAATCCCAAAGAAAGCTCTTTCAAAACAAAACTCACATTCAAAGTTTCTTCACCTATTTGATTACATCTGAAGGAAAACTGAGGCAGACATGCGTCGATTCACCAAGTGTGATGGGTGAATTTCGAAGAGACGAATTATGCTCTGTCATTTTGAGTGATCACGAACGCAAGGAGTATTATGATCAATATATAGAGTATGCCAAGGAAAATGGGTTAATTTTGGATGAGATATATTACAAAACAGCAAAAGCAAGATTATTCTTTGAAATTGATAGATCTGATGAATGTGAGAAGCTTTTAAATGAGATAGAGGACCTCCTGACCAGAAATAAGACTCTGGATGAAGAGACCCATTCCCCTGCATTAGGACTGTTTTACTGGATGAAGGGCAGATTCCAGAACGCTAGATCTCAGTACAAGAATGCTTTAGCGATGTTTGAAAAGTCTTTATCATTCTATCAAAATGAACCAGAACTATTTAAAACGGACATTGCAAACATATACAATTCTATAGGAGTCCTTTACTACAATCAGAAGGAATTTGAAAAGTCTGAATCCTACCACAGAAAAGCGCTAGAGATGGCATTGGGGCAGGAGGGAGTTGATGCTGAGGGGATCAATATTCAAGTTTATTATACTAACATTGCAACTGCTCTTGTAGCGCAATGGCAAAAGCTATCAAAATCAAGCAGTCTTGAGGAATCAAACCGCCAACTCTTACACCAAGCTGAGGAGTATTATACTCTTGCGATCTACTACGACCCTAAAGCATCAGAAAGTCGTGCGAAGAAACTGACCAATCGTGGGAAATTGTACCTCAGAATGGAGAGGTACGATGACGCCGAACAAGACTTTCTAGAAAGTCTACAAATCAGGAAGGATATCCTTGTCCCTCCTAATATAAACCTTACACATGCGTACCACAACGTCGGTATGTTTTATTTCCGGAAAGGAATGAATCCAGAAACACGTAAGTCATGATTACCACTCTTCAAGCTAGCGACCAATGTTGTTCTATAATTCTAGACTACTAGTAATTGATTTTTGAAGATGGTTGAAAGCAGTGCCCTATTTTAGCTTACCTGAGATTCAAAGGCTCGTGTAAGCTTCCCAGTCAGGGAGTGTGCGTTTGTCTGCCTGTTGTAAATTTGTGAACGTTTAACATTTGCATCAAAACCACTGGGTCATTTTCCACAAATTTGGCAAAAAGCATTCTTGGCTAAAATAAATACAATTTTTTCCGTGAAGGTGAGGCAATGGGCAATGCCTTATACCTAGAAAACATAATTAAAACATCGAACACGAAATCAATATTATTTAGGTGGAATTTATATTTAAATTTTTTTATGAAATCTTTTCAAAAGTAGGAATTTTCTGAAGATTTTTAGACATGGTATTAATAAGTTGATTGTATATTGAAATTGTAAAGAAAAATGCCTTTAATGTGAATCAACAATGAAGGTTTCATTCTCACTTATTTGTCAGGATGGGAAATGTGATCATTTGAGTACAATTGTTCTGGTCTTTTATTGCTTTACGTAGAGAGAAAAGGGGTGGGGTGGTGGTGGAGGGTCAGATTGTGCATCGTCATCGCTTCAATCATTTTTTTTTCTTTGGCAAAACGGTAAAATTTAAACAAAGAGTTTTTCTCGGTACAGATATATACTGTATTTTTGTTATCTATATTCAATAATATTTTAGCTTTTACTTTGTATAATCATTGCTGTCAACGGTTGCTATTACAGATAGGCAAGTAATAAATACTGTTTCCTTTTCTTTGAACACATGTGTAGAAAAGATTTGGCTTTATCACAGAATTTAAGTACATAAAACAAATGTTAAATGCTTTTTTATCAGAGAACAAGGCGGAATGCTTCGTACAAGCAGTGAACTTCTTTGAAGAAGTGAAGTTTCAGATTGAGAGAGGTGGGATGACTGCTGAAGACGCAGCGTATAAAGACATTGTTAAAACCCATAAACTGGCACTAAAGGCCATTAATGATGACCGCAGACTTGAACAAGCAAAACAATTTTATCAAGTTAGTGGTACACCAAAAAGATAATATTTCGTTCTGAATAGAAAATATTAAATAGATTTCGCGTTTTTTTTTTCTCCTTATGTTTATTTGGCATTAGGAAATTAACATGTAAGAATTATGATTACTTTGTTCTCCACAGGATTTTGAATCTGGTAAATTTGACAAGAAAATTCGAAAATGGAAGAGTATTGATGAAACCATGACAAAAAGTGAGCGATTGGCATCGACAGGAAAAAACTTTGACAAGGATTCTGGATCGAACCACTCTGACTCAGAAGCTGAGACCAGTTCCGACAGTTCTTCTGATCGGAACTCTTCTGTCGAAATCACGGACGAAGAAGACGGCGGTGGCGTTTTGGAAGAGAATTCCCAGCCACAGAATGAAAAATCATACGATATGGTTTATGAACATGAAAACATGGAATTCCTATCTTCTACACAGAAGGATCTCAGTCAGAATGACGAAAAGGAAAAAATGGAGCGAGACAAGCTGGACAGTGGAATCGGAAGTTTAACGTCGAGTTCTACTGGATCATCCAGCAATACTAATGACATAGTTAAGAAAAGAAGAAGGCTTGTATCCATGCCTTCGGGTTCTCTCGAAGATAATGTTTTTACAAATTTGGAAAATCCATCGTCAGAGTAACTTGTTTATGTGAAATGACAGGATATATACAAAAAGAAATAATTTCAAAAATACTTTATTTTCCTATAGATTTTCATTGTCCTTAGAAATAACTTTTATGTTGTTGAATTCTAGTAGTGAATATTATGATATTGAATTCAACTTTATTCCAAGATTATTTTTGTGTTTGATATTTGTGTAAATCAAAAGGTTTATTCATTGAACGGAGCAACTGCAGCACACATCCTTTATTATTATACAAAGTTTTATGCTTATTCCGAAAATGATTCCAGACGTATTTTGTTCAATCTAATTTTATTTTACATTTCGTTTTTAAATACCAATATGTTTTTGCTTAAATTTTTTTTGACTAACATTTTTGTTTTGTTCGTAACACTGATGTAATGGAAAAACACTGAACATCCCGCCATGAACAAGGAAAAGGTTTTATAAAAGATTCGGATTTGTATGTTCTGTCGTTATTTCAATGGAGATAATTTATCAGTAAACTCGAATTAACTTCTGCTTAGATACATACTAAAAATTGTGAGAGAAGAATTCCTTTAAATACTTCCACGTGCAAAACAATAAAACTCATTCACAACAAGACGAACTGGATAAAGAAATTGAAAGTTTAACGACGCTATGCTGTTGACAAAGTCGACTAAAACCCCCGTCACATTTCCAAAAAAGACCAACGGCCGTCTATTTTTGAGCCAAAAATGAAATTCTTCAGGCGACATTCAGCAGTTCTACGGCCGTTGCCTTGCCCGATTTTGACCCTTTTTCGTCGGCCGACCAATTTTGTATCCGTTGGGCAAAGTTATAATTTCTTCTGCGTCGTTGGCTGATTTCTTCAATTGAAGCAGTCATTGAAAAGTCCCTCAACCAACCCTCGCTCAACGTCCGACCATCGGCAGACAGTTTATTAATTAAGTCGGTTGGTCGACATTTAGGTACTGAGTTTTCCAAAATGTCGGCCGACGGTGAAAATCAAATTGCGGCCGCGCTCGATGATCGGGAGACGATTAGCCGATATTTAAACTTTTAAAGTCATCGATGTTCCTAGAAATCAAAATGACTGCTTCGCGTCGCCCGATACCAGTGTCGGCTGATGATGTTTTTGTTTTTTTCTTCAGCCGACGATACGAGAAAAAATTGGTTGCCTGACCATTGATTTGAATGTGATTAAGGTATTAGAAAAAACGGTTAAATTCATTTTTTTTTCTACTGGAATATTGGAGCCATGAAAACTGGTATTCAAATATTTATCTCTCGCAAAAGGATATAGTAAGAATAATAGATACTGATGGACTCGGAGGTTATTTGTTTGATATTAATTATATACATGTATTTCTTGTTTAGTCATATGGTTGGGTTTTCTGCCAATACGTCTAGTTCTTTCAACTAAAAAAATAAGTAAATGTTCATTCTTTTTTTTTTGGGAGTTTTTGCATGTATTTTTAGATATCGTTAAAACCGCTGGTATTTATCTCATAGAGGCTCAAAAAGTAATTTGATGTAAAGGGTAGTTTTTATTCTAAGAATAAAAAGGTTTTGTTCTGTGCATTTTTCTTTTTCCAAGGTATAAATATTTTATTACCTAGCCATATTAAGTTTTTTTAACTATTGATATTACTCCGATCTCAAATTAGAAATCAAACCTTTCTTTTTGTGTTGTCTAGTTTACTATATTATTTCTCATAAGTAATGGCAGCAACGATTACAATCATTCCAGTTCACTGTAATGTATGTATGAAATACCTTTAAGTACATCTACAAACAATGTATTTTTATTCATTTTTTATTAAAATTTACACAAAAAGCTTTTTTGCAAATATTTTTGTCATTTTTGAATATATCATCGATTTACATTGCAAATGTACACTATTTGACATTATGTTTATAATAAAATTTTGTCAACTTTTAGAATGTAATAAAACGTGCATAAAATATATAGAGTCTCCATCTTTTCAAAAGTTTCCCTTCTTCATGTTTGTTTAATTATTTGCAATGGTGGTACGTACTACAGCAAAGCGGGTGACATTTCGGTGGCAATTTATATACAGTCAAGCCTCGTTCATCTGGACGTTTGTGTTCCCATGCAAATTGTCCAGATTAATGAAATGTCCGGATTACTGAAGCATCTTGGTATACTAGTATGTAACAATGAATTCTCCCCAAAAATTTCATCTGGAAGGTAGAACATCCGGATTATTGGCGTCCAGATTAACGAGGCTCCACTGTACTGATTTATAAGTTAATAACGTGCATAGTAACCATTTACGTCCATTGGATGGGATGTAAAGTATCAACATATTTAAGACTATTAACAATTAGGCCTTCATCACACTCGCACGAAACTTTACTCTGTCCCTTTGCAAGTTTGAATAGTCTATTTATAAAAGTCAAGGAAAGTCCATATTTGGATTCCTCGACACCAGAATACAGGCTCGGATCTGTGGTTATGGATATTGCAAATCATAGGCTTTTTAAAACGCCAAGTTTTACGGAAAATAATACAGCTAAAACTACCCGTATTTTCCTTAAACTCCAATATGCCAACAAAGGAATTGACGCTGTTAATATAAGTCATATTCTTAATCACAAAAGGGTCCAGTCTTGTATTCCACCATATTTCCTATAAATATACATCGACTATTGCTTCCAAACTTTTTAATTACAACAAAACTTTACAGAACCTGGATATTGACCATCTGAAACATAATCCTCCTTCCTGTTCATGTTCTTCACCCTACAACTATAGTCCTGCTGGACACGTTATTACTGGTGACGTAAATATAGTTAATAATGAGGACCTTAAATCACTTATTTTGAAAGGGTCAAAATTTAGGGAACCCCGATCTTTCAGCTGAATTTCATAAATATTATGAATTCTGTGAAAGATTACGCCAGGCGATGGGCCGACATAAAAAAGAAGACCTTGACACTTTGTCAGAATGGATTAAATGCATCAGATGTACGTTAAAATCTCGCATTAAGCGATTGAGGGGCAATATGAAAACCATCTATCATCCTGTGTTCAGTAATTCCGAAATGAAAAAAAGAATTAGATAGACTACACGATCAGTATGTACTGGTCCCAGCTGACGAACCAGGTAACAACATTGTCTTTGTTTGTAAGGCTCATTATTTTAATTGTATTTAGAGGAACTGGGATTTAATTCAACAAGTGGTAATCCGACTTGTACCTATAGCTCCCTTTCTAAGGAGGAAATTCTTCAAAATCATATGTAAATTTTGAATATTTTTAATATTATTAACAATTTTGAATTTGAATTACCATATCTATATTGGATTCCGAAACTTCATAAAAATCCTTACAAATAAAGATACAATAACATAGCGGGTTCCAGTAAATGTTCTACCAAGCCTCTTTCTTTACTCCTCACTAAAATATAACAGTAGTGAAGGAGAAACTTTGGGAGTACTGTGCAACAATATATTCGAGAAGTGGTGTAAATCAGACGTGGATATTTAAAAATTCCTAGAAATTTTGGAAAATTTGAAATCACAAAATTTTGCCAAAATCAACAATTAACATGAAAACTTACGACTTTTCAACTTTATATATAACCATTCCCCATGATAATTTAAGGTCCAGACTTTTTGATATCATTGACAGCTGCTTTTTCAATAAAAATGGAACTTGTAAATTTACCTACCTTGTCATTGGTCATTTGCAAAATTAAATTTGTTTAAAAAAAAAACATTCTGATTGTACACACAAGTACTCTGAAGCTGATATTGAAAAGATGCTTGAGTTTCTGATTGACAATATCTATGTGGTTTTTGGAGACTAGGTCTTCCAACAATCTATTGGAGTTTCCATGGGTACCAATTGCACCCAGTTATTAGCAGACCTATTTTTGTATTCATATGAAGCAAAATTTATTCAAAATCTTGCACGTAAAAAGAAGAAAATACTTGCTGTGGCCTTCAACTCGACATTTAGATATACCGGGTATCGACGACGTATTGTCAATTAACAATGTTTTTTTCCATTCGTATGTCGATATGATATATCCCAGTGAGCTTGAAATAAAAGATACCAAAGAGTCTGACACATCTGTTTCATATTTGGTTATTTTACTAGAAAAAGACGTTAATGGTAATTTAACAACTAAGCTTTATGATAAACGTGACGACTATAACTTTTCAATCGTCAGCTTCCCTTACTTATGCAGCAATATACCTTCATCACCTGCATAAGGGGTTTATATCTCTCAGTTGATTCGATACGCAAGAGGATGCTCTGCGTATGAACAATTTCTAAAACGAGGTAAGTTATTGACAAACAAATGATGAAACAAGAACAGTCTCGTTTGAAATTATAATTTCTTAAGTTCTATGGTCGATACAATGACCTTGTCAGCAAATACAATTTACCATTAAGTCATATGCTGACTGACTTTTTTTAATACAAATTGTTATGCCATTATTTACACAATGAATTGTTGACAGATTTTTCCGTTTTTTTTTTGTTTTTGTTTTTGTTTTTTTTTTTTTTTTGCCGATCATGACAAGGAGCACACGGCGGGTGTGACCGGGGATGCTCACTCCTCCATGGCACCTGATCCCACCTTTGATTGTTTTGGAGGTCCGTTTTTGCTCTGCTCCCGATCTGTATTGTTTTGATGGACTTTTAAACTTGAATACTGTTCGTTATCTCTATATATTTCATAATGTGAAAATAGTTGCTTTAAAACTGTAAATAAGCCTGATCTTTTTTTTAAATATGATGCGCGCGAAGTACTGCGAAATGAAAACCCCAGTCGGCCTTAAATTGCTTTCCCTACTTTGGGACTGGGCTAGCATATCAAAATTGTAGCTCTACGAAGCGGCTACGAGACTTCTTGTGTGTGTATTGTACTGTAGGCACGATTTTATTTCTGGGAAACGTCAATGATATTTTGGAAAAAGACAGGAAAAGACGTCTGCAGTTTGTATAGAGTAGTTAGAGTGATTGGTTCAAAATTTTGGCACTGAATGATAATGTTTCTTTTTATCATATGTTAGCGGACTTGTGCTGAGTTTTTAGTTTAATTTTTTTACTCTTGGAGAAGAGTTAAAAAAATCTGTAACCTGCTGATCCAGGAGCCATGTTTTAACTCAATTTTGCTGGATGAAGGGTAGGCTCTTGTACGTCAGATTTCATATAAAGACTATCTAGCGATGATGAAACTATATATGAAAAGGAACCAGATCTGTTCAAGACAGACATTGCAAACGTAAACAATTCTACAGAAAGCGTTTTACTACACAAAAGGATTTTTTTTTTTACAAAGCTGAAAAATGCCAAAAAAGGGCAATCGAGGTTGTTCTGGGTTATGTTTCTGAAACTGAAACTGGTGTGTGGGCCTAGAAAGATCCATTTATATTTCAAAGAATCAAATCGTAGGCTCTTGACATCATCAACCATGAAATCACAAGTACCTGTAAAGAAATGGATGGATCTTGGGAAATTGTACCTTTAAATGAAAAGACATGCTGAGACGGACTTTTCAGAAAGTCTAAAAATCAGAAGGACCTCTTGGTTCTTCCAAACATAAACCTTACATATGCTTACCACAGTATTGGTGGGTTTTCTCATCAAGAAAGAAATCATTGCAAGACGGTCAATAACATAGTCAGTCTTCAAGCAAATGTCCAATGGTGTTTCATAATTGGCTGTTATAACTGAATTTGAAGAATAAGAAATTATTAGTATCTTTGGAATTTTTTGAATAGAGAAACGTACGCGTTTGTTTTATATTTTATACATCTTTGAAAAATTTTTTGTTCTCTTCCGACCGACTGGCTAAAATGGCCCAACTCAAATGAATTATGGAGATAACGAACAGTATTCAAGCTCAAAGTCCATTTAGACAATACAAATCGGGAGCAGATCACAAACCAAAAAATCAGAGGTGGGATCAGGTGCCATGGAGGAGTGATAATCCCCTGCCGACCGGTCACACCCGTCGTGTGCTCCTTATCATGATCGGGAAAAACGGAAAAATCCGTCGACAATTCACTGTGTAAATAATGGCCCAACAATTAGTATGAAAAACGCCAGTCAGCATTTGACTTAATGATAGGATGTTATTGCTGACAAGGTCATTGTATCTACCGTAAAACTTGCGAAATGATGACTTCAAATGAGACTGTTGATATCCTTGTTTCATCAACTTGTTTGTCAATAGCTTGCCTCTTTTTAAAAATTGTTCATACTTAGAGCATGCGCTTGCGTATCAAATCAACTGAGAGACATAAACCCCATACGCAGGTGATAAGGGTATATTGCTACATAAGTAAGGGAAGTTGACGATTGAAAAAATTGAAATTATCAAGTTTATCATAAAGCCTTGTTGTTAGGTTACCATTATAGTTTTTTTCTAGTAAAGTATCCAAATATGAAACAGATGTGTCAGACTCTGTGGTATCTCTTATTTCAAGCTCACTGGGATATATCGAGTCGACATGTGAATGGAAGTAACCATTGTTATTTGATAATACGTCGTCGATATGTCTAAATGCCTAGTTGAAAGCCACGACAAGTGTTTTCTTCTTCTCATGTAGAAGTTTTTGAATAAATTCTGCTTCATATGCATACAAAAATAGGTCTGCTAACAAGGGGGCGCAATTGGTACCCATGGAAATTCCAACAGATTGCTGAAAGACCTCATCTCCATAAACTACAAAGATATTGTCAATCAGAAACTCAAGCATCTTTTTAATATCAACTTCAGAGTTTTTATGTGTACAATCAGAATATTTTTAAAAAATAATTTTACAAATGACCAGTGACAAGGTAAGTATGTTTACGAGTTCCATTTTTATTGAAAAAAGCAGCTGTCTATGATATCAAAAAGCCTGGACTTTAATTTATCGTGGGGAATGGTTGTATAAAGTGTTGAAAAGTCGTACGTTTTGATGTT